AACGCGGAACCCGAGCACCGGAAATCCGAAGCCAGAAAACCGACACCCGAAAGCCCGGCCCGAATCCAGGAACCCACCTACTTACGCAGTGTCTTCTAAGCAGTATTTTCTACGAAGTGTTTTAGCGCGCGCTTCCAAGAACGATGATTGAAAGGCGCTCGCTCAAGCACAAAGCGTAAAACATCACGGAGGCAACGCTGTATAGAAAACATGGTGTAAGAAACATTGCGTACAATAACAGTGCGTAAGAAGAAAAACGTTCGCGAACAAAAAACATGTGTAAGAACACTGCGTGTACAACAACAAAAACACTACGTTGAAAACCCTCTGTAAACACACACACACACACTGCGTAAAAATACACTGCGTTAAAAATCAATGCGTGGGAGCACTGCGTAAAACAAACACTGCGTTAAAAAGCACGGCGTGCACATAGGCACGGCGTAAAATAAAACACATTGAGTAAACACATTGCGTAAGAAAGTATTGCGTAACACACATTGCGTAAAACATTGCGTTGAAAACACCGCGCTCATACATAAACACGAAAACACTGCGTAGAAAACACGGCTTGCAAACACTGCGTATAACAAACCTTGCGTTGAACAACGACGTTGAGTACAAACATTGCGTTACAAACATTATGTTAAACAACGGTACGTTAACAAACATTGCGTACAAACATTGCGCGAACAAATCACTGCGCACATGAATCGAATTCTCGCTTAAGACCAACTCTCCTCCTGCTCCTCCTCCTTTCCCTCGGCGTAGTGTGCGTCTGTCTCGCCCAAAGGGTGAGGAAGACAACGGCTTTCAAGTGCAGATGTTTCTTGGTTTGCACCCTGCCCCCCCAGCCGTGTCAAGACGTCTTTTAACCTGGCCTTCGGTGCGCGGCGGGAGCCGAGCTTTGACGCTGGCTTCTGAAGCCCGCTGTCCGCTCCCGTCTTCTCTTTCCCGAGCGAACATTCTAAGCATGCCCAGCCATGAGGGATGCTCTCGCCTCCGCGCTGGCCGCTTTCCGACTCGGACTGGCGACGTTGCCCCAGCGATGCCCACTTGCCCGTCACGGCACGGTGCCCCTGCTCACCGCCGGACCGCACGCCTGACTCGGGGTGGCGGTTCTGCCCTTAAGGCCGCTTGCTCTGCCAAGAATGGTGGCACTCTCGACTCGGAGAGGTGCTCCGGCCTCGGCGAGGGTCGCGCTCCCGGATCAGGGCTCGGAAGGGTGCTCTCGCCGCTCGTGCATCAGCCTTGGCCGCGCTGCCAGCTCAGAGTGTTGCTTTTGCCGCAACACCAGGGAAGGAGGAGGCATGCCTGCTGACGGGCGGGATCCCCTCGGTTGAGGGTAAGTTGATGGCCCAAGCAGCACGCAATTCTATTCTGCAGTGGAAGCGTTATGGATGAATTGTCTCCGAGCTTGGGTAGCGAACAGGAGCTGCGAGCAAGGCATGATTCGAAGGCAAATCTGATGCGCAGCGCGCTTCGCAGAGCGCGGAGCTTATTGTGCGCCTCGCTCCTCTTCCAATCTATTTCGTTGTCCACATCACACCGGAGGTTCTACATAACCCCGCCATGACCGCGGACGGATACGTGTATACGTACGAGCGGGAGTCTATCGAGCATTGCCTGCGCACTGGCAGGAGAACGTCTGGAAGGTCTCCATCATCAATATTTTAACATTTCATGTGCTGTTAGTTCCAGTGCAACTGCTTCGCTTCGCGATCGAGACGTGCCTCTCGCACCGACCAGAAGATACACGCCGGGAATATGATGCGCGATCGTACTCAGTTGCTGCAGTGCAGCTTAGGACATCTCGAGTATAGTCGACCCTGGAGTCTTTGAAGTTGCAATTGCCGTAATGTCAGGCGGGCAGCCCAATTCTCCGAAAGGGGTTCTGGGACCAGAGGGAAGCAGCAGATTCCGAAGGTGCCTGGAGACTGAAGCGACGCATACAGGAGTGTCAGTGCGAGCCCTGGCAAAACGGCGAGCGCTGCAAGCAGCGGGTTTTAGTCCCTGGAGCACAGGCATGACCAGCCACTGGCGTGGTCGCATCAGCCACCACCCCGAGCCGCGCACACTGCTGTTGGCCACATGGACACCGCCGCGCAGGTGGGCCGCGGATGCCTGACCTGGCTCAGTAAAGGTGCGACGAGATGCCGCTACAATGGATGATGCAGTGCAGTCAACCCGCATAGTAAGGATGGACAACCTTCCCAAGGGTACCCTTGCATCCTTGCCCTTTCGGCCTATCCTCGGCCGCTTTCGCTGGCCGCGCCCCGCTGGCATAGTGTCGAGATGGCCTTCCAAGGCCCTTGCATCCTTATAGGCGCACCCTCATGATACGGGTTGACTGTGGATGCGTTCATTGCATTTGCCACCTCAACTGGAAGCATCGAGGTGCATCGAGGACGCCAGCGACGAGCCACCGCCAACCCTGCCTTTATGGTGGGAGCGAAAGGCACGTACTGCCGAATACAGCAGGGAAGTCACGTTTCTCTGGCAAAATGCCATTTAGCCGGGACCGCGGGACGGGACTTGACGCGGCGGCTGGGGTTTGATCCTGCCATTTTGTATGGACGGGATGTGATCTGTTCTGCTTTTAGAGTATAGGATTCATGGTACTCCAGGATGGAGTCACGTCCCGTCCGCCGCAGCACTGACTGTACGCTAGGAGTCTAGACGGGATTGGGGGGCTTTTCATCATCAACAACATCATCATCGGCAGCATCAGCAGCATTCTCATCATCATAACCACCAACATCATCATCATCATCATCATCATCATCATCATCATCATCACCAACATCATCATCCTCAGCATCATCCTCAGCATCATCATCCTGATCATGGTGACGACCATAATCCATCATGATGAAGACAGTCACTATGGTAACATCATAATGGCCGCATTAATCATCATAATCGTGACCATGATTATCACCATCAACTCGACCGTCGCCAACATCTTATCCATTGGTCGTGATGAAGACGGCCATGGCGTCCTCCGGCAATTAAACCATCATTGGCCAATTGCCGAAAGCGCGAGCGCGTCAACTTGCCCCATCTGCCCTGCGCGAAGCCATTTGAAAGTTCAAGGAGCGTCACTTCCATCGCAGTAAGCGATGTGACACTCGCTCGACAGTGGTTGAGTTCTGATCCCCCGAGATCATGTCGGGTGGAACTCTGATCTCCCGAGCACATAGGGTCCAGAGTGAAGGGATGCCTGGGGCCCTGTTGGGCGTTCTTGGGGCCCTCCTGCGGCCCTCCTGGGCTTTCTTCGGATGCTCTTGGGGCGCCCTGGAGCCGCTAGGGGCCCCTCGAGGCTGGCTTGGGCGTCTCTTTGGGGTCGTTTGGTAGCCCCCTTGGGCCGTCTTGGAGCCCTCCTATACCGACTTAGGGCCCTGTAGTACTCCAGGCCTACAGTGGGGTAGGGTTCCCTTCCATGGTGACAAACGTCCTCAGCACCTACAAGCCGTACTTTTTCGGGCAGCTCGTGCACTATATCTTGATCTTTTTGAACGGCCGCGTGGAGGCACGTCAGGAAGTGGGGATCGTGGGCCACGTGGTGATCAAGATGGACATTTAGGAAGTGATCTTAATTTTAATGTTCGCCACTATCATGTCTGGGGGGGTGGGGTTGGGGACACGACCACGAAGGAGTACCCCGTGGTGAAAGACTTGATTTATTCGACGTTGCTGAACAGGGTGGTGGCGGTAGGCCAGATGCCGAGAAACTCCGCCATCATGAGGATTACCAAGAGTACGAGGTTGTGCTAAATGAGAGCGGGACGGGGTCGACAGACTCGAGCGCGCATGGTTGGACGAGCACAGCAGCCCGCACTCACCAGCCTCGGTGTTCGACCTCATCGCGGGCGCGGAGCCCCTCGACATCTTCGACAGCGGCTCGGAAGAGATCGGACACGCGGAGGTGGCTACACATACGGAGCTTTGGAGAGAACACGGCACGTTTCCATGCAGTAAGTGCGAACTGGCTGAGCAGGCTACCATCGCGGCGTTGCGTAGGTTGGACCATGAGGTGGATGTGCGCGCACAGTCATCGGAAGCTCATGTGCGGGAGGGCTGGCGGTCTCCCCCTGGAGGGTATATGTTTAGACGATGCTCCGCAGTTGGAACCTACCCTGCTAGATGGTACCGCCGAGGAGGACTCATCGATGCTCGCCGTCGCATGCAGGAGGGGACTGATTAAGTTCGAGTTCGATGTTACTGCCAGTAGTACGTCATTCCCTGCTTGCAGGATCCAGGGATGACCTGAGGGTTGGCTCTTTGAGCGATGTGGCCTAGCAGCTGAGACCGACAACATGCCCCGAGACATCGGAATGTATAGGGACCAGACAAGTCTTGTCACACATCTAGTGGAACGACTTGCGGCGCTTAAAGAAATTGGCATATCGCTTTGTGTAGTTACGCCCAGGCAAATTCAGCAATGCTTGTTCTTGCGGTTTCCACGCGTAGCCACTAGCCGTATGGCGACATGTGAATATCAAGCGGACCCATTTTCGCTCCTCCTGCGGCCAGTGTCGTCCTCCCTTCTCCTCCTCCTCCTCCTCCTCCTCGCTCCCTCGTCCTCTTCCTCCTCGATCCCTCCCCCCCTTCTGCCCCTTCAACTGCTCCCTTCCGCTCTCTCGCTGTACAGCGCCTTCGGCTCGAGTAAATAGGACTGGGACTCTTCATGGGACATTCACTCTCCCTCCTTCTCCTCCTGCTAGTTTTCTCCACCTCCTCCTAATCCTTCTCCTCCTCTTCGCTCCCTCCTCCTCCTCTTCGCTCCCGCCTCGTCCTCTTCGCTTCCTCCTCCTCTTCGCTCCCTCCTCCTCCTCTTCCTACCTCCTCCCTCCTCCTCCCTCCCTCCTCCTCCTCCTCCTCGTCCTCCTTCTCCTCCTCCTCGTCCTTCTCCTCCTCCCTCCTCCCCCCTCCTCCCTCTTCCCTCCTCCTCCCTCCTCGCCCCCCTCTCCCTCCCATCGTCCTCGCTCTGGCCCGAGGCCCCGGCGCGATGACCATGTCCCCCTCGGCCATCGTCTGAGTGGGCGGGCGCCCGCCGCGCGGGCCTGCCCCCGGAACGCCCGCGGGGCGAGGCCTGGGCCTCGGCATCTTGGCTGTCTCGGTGCGCCCGTGTCGGAACGCAGCAGGCACCGTGCCCCAGACGTCCGTGCCAATGCGTTGCGTGTTGGCTCAACGTATTGGCCCGCGTCTTGGCGACCGTACCGCGTCAGGCCCACGTTCTCTCAGAGGAGGGAAGGGTGCCGATACCGCTCGCCCCTTTTTTTCCGGCCCTGGGAGGTCCTCGTCGCCACCGCTGGGTTCGCCTCGGGATCCTTGTCAGAAGGCACCCCAGGAGAGGTCTGGGGAGTAGCGGTGTCGGTACCTTTAGGTCTCCCCGTTTTTGGTCTACGTGTTGAGTTCCGTACGTTTGAGGGAAAACATTAAGAAACACTGCCCCCTCCCCCCCAATTCAAAGTTGGTACATATACGCATCACTGGTCCGACACGCAACCTCGGGAGATCCGAGCCCAACAATGCATTCGGGGGGAGGGGGGACGAGTACACACCAGATGTCACGCGTGAGTGTTGCTTAATTGTTTCCGACACCTGTATCAGTGCGCTACGTGTTGCGTGTGGCGCATCGGGGCAGGCTAAGCTTTGGCATCCGAACCCCCTCGCCGTTGGATCACAATCACGTGTCCAATCCGTCGAATGATTTCCAAAATCTAACACGCGACATTGTTTTCTAATAAAGTGTCTGCCGGCATTGGCTCCAAATAGTGTATGAGTGAATTCTGGACGTGTATGATAAGTGTCGCAGTTTATGTGGCGCAACATCTACGGTGTAAGTTATGTGGCGAAATCTACGTGGTGCAAATACGTGGTGCACGGTTTGTCATTCAGGCGTGTCCTGCCTCGTCATCCTGCTCCTTCCCCTCCTCTCCTCACCCCCCTCCTTCCCTCGAGGGACCATCGAGGGTCTCAGACGGTTGAGATTTCAATCCTTTGCGAAACCCAGTGCCCATGTCTCCAGGATACCGTTGAAGAACACAAGTTTGCAACAAGGGTGACGAAACCACTTCGAATAACCCCCCTCCTCTTCCTGGCCATCATACCAAAGAAACGATTCCAGAGAAGCGAGACCGGAAACAGTTTGATAAAACATCTCGAACGCAATAGTCATTCATGTTAAGGCTGCGGGCTGGAGGGGAATCCGTTCTTTTTTAATAGTTCGGGCGTTGTTGCACAGATGTTTTTGTTCATCCGGGTTGGGCGCTCTTGGGGCAGGTGGGCCGCTCCCTGCCGACGCAGGCCCTACGCGCTTCGCCTGGGAAGCTGGCCGCCCTGCTGTGCTCGGCGTCTCTGGCGTGGGGGGCTCCCACCCGCCCCACAATGCACCAGTGCAGTCGTCGCCCATCCCTGCCCCTCCGCGTCCTCTCCCTTGACGAATAGCTCTGTGGGACGTGCGATCTCCACTGTTCTCCTAGTCTTCAGCCCATCGACGGTACCAGGAGGGGTTACCTGGGTCGCATTGACTCACCAGGGCCTCTTTCCCTAGTTTTCGAGTTATGCTGAGAAGGCAGCTCGTTTTTGACCTTCGGGCTTATCTGGCTTAGTATGACGTCGTAATGTTGCTATTCCCATCTATTCCTATTCCTATTGCTAAGGCCTTACGGCTGGTGCCGCCGACCCTGGACGACGACCCCCACGATGGAACTGGCATTCGGGAAGGTCGGGATCTGAAACTGCTACACGAGGCCCCCGTATGAGATCGTCATGTTGTTATTGATATTATCATTTTCCATGTACGAAAAAGTTCTTTCCCGTCGCGCTAACAGGTGTTCTCGTATGGCTGTCCAGGTGTTTCGATTGACGAATCTCCATCTTTCACGATATGGGGATTTCTTACCGTCAACCACTACACGGATGGGGGTGGCCCGTTTTCAAATTATGGTTCTCGCTTGAGCGCCGCTCTCATTCGTCCTGAACTTTGAACGGTTGCATGGATGGAGGGCTGGCCATCTTCAAAGTGCGGTTCTCGCCTTCGCGGCGCCGCGCACATTCGACGCACAAATATTACAGTAGTTGCACGGGTTGAGGGTGGTTCATTTCAAAATTGGTGACCTCGAAGGAAAATTGTGCAACAAGGATACGAACCAAGGGCGGCGCTTGTTCAACATGGGGATGTTCTTATTCAAAATGGGGGTACCGCTTCAGACTGCTTCACATTGAACCCCTGCAAGGACTTATGCAAAGGGTTCGTGAGACAGGCAGCAACGTTCATGTACCCTGGATTACACTGGGCGTTCTCCTTCCTCCTCCTCCTCATCCTCCACTTCTCCTCCCCCTCCGCATCTGATGTTGTCCAGCGAGGGTCAGCTGCGATGGTAACACTGGTGTATCGTTCGGGGTGGGAGTCCCTCGTTGGCCGTGCCGTCTGGTCTCGGGAAGGTGTCAAGAAGCGCCCGAGTGCAACGACTCGTGAGACATTCCGGGCAGAGACTGCGATGGCGCGCCTGCAGACAAAAGAGGGCCATGTTCATCGACGCTGTCATGTACGCGCCGCGTTTGCAGCCCATAGACGGTGCGCGAGCCTCAAACGCAGCCTGCAGCAGCTGGCTGTAGTCTCCCAAAAAGCGAACACTTCTGCATGCAGCCGATGCGTTCGGTCTTTGGGCGCATACGGTGCGCCTCGGTCTGCATGCGAGACCGATTCGCATATCACGACCTTCGTTCAGGGTGATCTGCCTCGGAGAATTACAGCCTCGTCGGCCTGGGGAGGAATCGTGTAGATATGAGCCACTTGACCAGGGCCACTGAGCCTGAGAAACAAGATGACGCCCTCCACCGATACATATTCCAAAACATATGTGATGGATGATATGATCAAGGAATAAAGGGGGTGGGCCACATTGGGCCACATCCGAGAAGCGCATATTATGGTTTCAAGGAGTCTGGAAACCAGCAGGAGCACATCCGATTTTTCTGCGGTGGCAGCTGAGAGCATCATGTCACATCGCGGTCCATCAGTTCTTCGTGCCTCGCGAAGGGATTCCTTAACAGGGATGTCATCAGGCGTTGTCGCAGTTTTCATCCCGCTCCACAAGAGGGCTGCAGAGAGAATCCCAATTGTGTGTCGGACGACCGACCCCCTCAGTCACACCAGAGGCATGCACATCCGCGCGTCCACTGCAACCTTGTGCGCGCAGTTGGGTCGGAAGCATAGGCCCAGACGGGCTTCGGAAATATTGGAGGAGAGGGGGATGTGAAGCACGTTGGCATCTGTTCATCTCGTGGTCGTCCCGCGGTCGGACGTTCGCAATCGCGGGGGAAGCAGCCAGTGATGCGCTCAGCACAGGCAGGAAAGATATCCGCTTACGGCACAAACGGGCCACCACGCCATCGCGGAGGATCTCGGCATGCGCTCCCCCAGCTGTCGATCTGGGCCGAGAGTTTACGGGCAGCGATGGGAAATTTGGATAAGGATGGTTTCCGCTAGGGTGGGTGCCCGACGGCTTCGGTGACCGGTTCGAGCTCCGCCGACATTCAGAGGATCCGGCAGGTCGTACATAAGGTCTTGTGAGAAGAGACAGCAGGCTTCCAGCCAACCCACTGGACCCATGGGAAAATTGGACACGGGAAGTTCGACTCGATGGCTATGGACATCGTGCGATCTACATCCCCAGGCCGAAAGTTTCCATTCGCGCATGGAACATGGATCCCAATGGATTGCGTTTCGTGTGTGCAGACGTTTCGTGGATCCCATTTATCTATCTTCCGGATCCCATTTTTTGGCGTGGAAGTTTCGTGGATCCCAGCACATATCAAATAATGATTAGTAACGTGGGCCCACCGATTATTGGATCCACGGATCTGTGGATTTGTTGACCAAAGCTATGATTCTACGGGGGAGGGGTTTCTTTCACCCACACCATCACCCACGAGGAAAGGTGGAGGACGAAGAAGAAGGAATTGCGGAGGAGGAGGAACAAGGGGAGAAGGAAGTTCAGGACACAGATGAGGAAGAAGGCGCGTACGAAGACGAGGAGGAAGAGGAGGACAATGACAAGGAAAACGAAGAAGGGCAAGAGGATGACGACATGGGCAAGGTATCCTTCCCGTTTGTATATTTTTACAAGCCGGGGGTGTGCGACCGAAAATATGACGGCTTATAATTGCATTGCGACGGACTCCAACAATTTTGGTACCAAGTCCAATCAATTCGGTACCAATTCCGACCGCTTTGAAAGCTCTATAGACATTCCTTACATATTCGTTCGAGATTCTTCCGAGATTCCTCACGAGATTCCCCGGGATTCCTCAGGGATTCCTCAGAGATTCCAGGAAATTCCTCAGATATTCTTTCGAGATGTTTTAAAGATTCCATCGAGATTCCCCAGAGATTCCTCCGAGAGTCCTTTGAGATTTCTCAGAGGTTCCTGAGAGATGTCCCAGAGATTCTTCAGAGATTCCTGAAAGATTGTTCAGAAATTCCGGAGATTCTTTAGAGATTCCTGAGAGATTCCTCGGAGATTCCTTAAATATTCATCGGGGTTCCTTGGAGACTCCTTTGAGATTCCTCGGGGTTCCTCAGAGATTCCTCGGAGATTCCTCAGGGATTCTTCAAAGATTATTCATCAGAGATTCCTAAGAGATTCCCCAGAGATTCCTTGAAGATGTCTCGGATATTCTCTAGAGATTTCTCGGACGATCTCTCCCGCGGCATCTCGGAGACAAGAGTTGTGAGAATGTTTCAGGCGAAACGCGCCAGACCAGCTCGCGGGCGGCAGCCTGGAGCTCAGAGTTGTGGGGGGGGTCTCAGGCGAAGCGCGACGGACCACCTCTTACGCAGCATCTCCGAGCTCATACTTGCGGGGATGTCTCAGGCGAAACGCCGTGGACCATTTCGCGAGTGGCAGCACGGATCCCAGAGTTGCGAGGATGTCCCATGCGAAACGGGCCAGACCAACTCTCGCGCAGCATCTTGACGCTCAAACTTCTGGGGATGTCTCAG